ACCTCCTTACTAATATGAAGGGTCTGCAGCAGCCCGCTGTGACGGCGGAGACTGCCTTAGTAATATGAAGGGGCACAGGTGGGGCTTTGAACTCAGCCTCAGTTGAGCCCCTCCGAAGGTGAGATTCTTGGAGCCTGGGCTCTCAGGGCTGTCTGATGTGTGAAAGCAACTCAAAGGCCCACAGCACATCCTCATTTCCCTGCTCAAGGGCTGTGCTGATTAACCTGAAAAACTGCCAAGTGTCGTAGAAAAGGCTGGAGTTGAGAATTGGAGAGTTCATCACCGATCCTCATAGCTTTGTCCTAAAGAGGGCCCTGACCTCTTAAGTTGCGTGCATACTCTGAATTTTGTGGCCCACCCGATGGGGCCTTGCCTTCTCAGAGCTGTGGGATGGACTCGGGGTCAGTGGCCAGCACAGCCAGGGTTCCATTTCTGACTCTGTCGTGGAGAGAATGACGCCCCCCACATGCACATGTTCAGGTCCAGTGCTTGAGAACCTGACTGTGTTTGGAGACAGGCCCTCTAAAGGGGTCGTTAGGGTGGGCCCTGATCCACTAGGACGGGTGTCCTTCTAGCAGGAGGTGAGGACACAGACAGGCACAGAGGCCGACCCCGCAAGGACACAGGGAATCTACATGGCCAGGAGCGAGGCCCTGGGAGGATCCAGCCCAGCCGCACCCTGACCTTAGACTTCCAGCCTGTGGGTTGGTGAGAATCCCCTGCTGTGGCATGTCATTGGGGCTGTGCCCGCTCGCTAATCCAGGCTCGTGCGCCCTGTCTCTCCCTCTGGGTGGCTTCCTGTCTCCACCGAGGCCCCCTGCTGCAGAGCCCACCTAGAACCAGGGAGGCGGCAGGGACCCACCAGCAGGCCCTGGGGCCCTTTCCTGTAGCCCCCCGTCAGGCGGGGATGTGGGGCCCTCCACCTTCTGGCTGCTCCCTCTTCTCTGCCCCGGGCCAGGCAGTGGCGTCATCCCCCGTCAAGTTCGCCTTTCTCCAAGTCACTGCTAGGAGCTGCGCCCGCCTCCCTGGGCCTCTGCAGAGCTGGCAGGGCTCCCACCACGCCGGGCATTCGGGGCTTCTCGCGCCTACCGCTGCCACCTGTGCCATGTCGGATGCGGGGTCAGTGTGCTGAAATACCCTTCTCTGCACCTTTTAAAGGGCCGTGCTGGGACACTCGCCCTGGCGTTCCACCTGGCATCCTGGAGTTCTGGCTTGAAACCCAGTTGAGGCCCTCAGCCTTGCGCCTGCCGCCCCAGCCCATCCATGTTTCCGCGGTGGCAGAGGTGATTCTGAAACCACACGCAGAACGGCGTTTTCTTTTCCTGCTGAAGATCAGAGCAGGTGCTCCTCCCTTCAAGTCGTGGGCTTGGGTTTGTGTCTGGAAGGACCACACATCCCAGTTCCTCTCATTCCTGAGCCGGCACCTCCGCCGCCCGCTCTGCACTGGGTCTCAGACACCTGCTTGTCCTGCAGCCATCAGAGGGGATTAAAATTAACAGCAGTGCGGACGTGAGGGGAGACGGGCCTCAGACGCTGCCCCCGCCCGTGGTTACCCTCTCACAGCGGGAGGCTCACAATCAAATTCTCACAAAAGGTCACATTTGCAATAAGTAAAAAGGAAATGCAGGTAATTGGTTCTGGAGCCTGTTAATACCTCTGCAGGCCCTGAGAGGCGATCTGATGGAGTTGAAACCTTTTTGTTCAGGTAATTAAAAATGAGATTTCATTATATCTTTAAAAATGAGGGCGAGTGAGGTGTTTTCTCAGATGCTATGATGTTATTGAAAGAGGAAAATAAATCAGCAAGGCATGGCACAGCCTTGGCTCATAAATGGATCGTGGCTCCGTCCTGGGCTGGGGGTGCCCACAGGAGAACTCAACCACAGCCCCGAACCCTCGGGGCGGAGATGGAGCCTGAGGCGCAGAACAGTGAGGATCCCACAGGTTCCGGAGGGTTGGGAGCGATTAGACCCCTTGGATGAAACGTGGATGGAGAAATTGGCAGACTGAGATTCTGAACAAGTCACAAGCAGCCTCTTTTCCAGTGTGGGAGATTATTCGTAGACACGATTACGAGGTAAATGGGAGGGAAATGAGAGAGTCTGCCCCCCGGGGCCTCACCCGTCCTTCCCCAGACAAAGGGCGACCGGTGAGGGCCTTCGAGCTGAAGGAGAGTCTTCGAGCTGAAGGAGAGAGACAGAGACGAGAGGCAGGTCAGTTTGCCGGAAGACAGGCGTGGCGGCAGCTGACGGGGCTCAGACGCGGTGTCACGTAATCTCCATCTTCGTGACAGGCCCCCAGAAAATCACGATGAAAACTTTGCATCGGGAAATCTCACCATTTATATAAACCAAGGCGGATGTTGCATCTAACAATAAAATACAGAAATGTACTCGAATGACTTTTTTGTATAATTTTTTTCAGTTTCAACTAAGGAGGTATTTGCGGGTGCTTTATTCACACCCAGATGGAAGGACGTGGCGGCTTTGTGGCAGGCAGGCCGACTTCCCATGTTGTTGGAGCCCACGTTGAGGGGCGAGCATTGCTCTAATGTCTGGGTAATTTTGAAGAAAGCTGCTGCGGGCACCGCGCGAGCCCCGTTGTGCGTCGGTGACCCCTCTGTGCTGCGATGACGGTGTCCTGACTTTGGCAATGCTGAGGCTCACTCTGCAGATGCATTAGCCTCACCTGAGTCTAGAGATGCCACCATGGGCTTCCCCGGGAGATTCGCTCACAAACGCTCCGGAGCGCCATAAATCTCACGGTTTTCTTCCATACGAAAAATTCTTTTGCGTGGTTTACAGGAAGAAAAATTCTGATGTTCCAGATCTTTAATTTTTAAGGCACATTTTATTGGTAAACATTATTCTTCCCAGATTCATTTACTTTGTAAATGGAACAATTAATTTCTATCCAGATGTTAGGATTAAAAAAATTACTGAAGGAGAAGTCTTTTTGGCTTCAATAAAAATGCTTATCAACAAAATCCCAATTTTATGTAAAAACAACGTGCTGTGCCAGATAAATCATGGCTTATTTTCTTGCATATTTCTCGTCATAATTTCCATTTCCAGCATTTACTTTTATTTTAACCGAAGAGAAAAATACATGCTTTACTTAAGTTTTCTCCTCTTATTTGCAAGTTGTCTTCTTCAATCCGTGGGTGAGATTGGCTGCAAAGTTTGAAGAAGATAGCAAACTCCGCAAAGAGATGAGCCTTGTGTCATTAAAAAGAAAAGCCACATGCACGAGTCATCATTTTTCATCTTTCAGTGTGTTGTTAGTTTTGCTGAACCCTATACTTTGTACTAATAATGCTAATTTGTCTGTTACCTTTGATGACTGTCGAATGGAGCTGCTGTTCCACAGACAGAGGCCTGATGACTCCCTGTTCTTACCCTAAGAAGAGGTGGCGGGCAACAGCCCCCACTTTCAATGACTGCGTGCAGGCCCCTCCTCTGCTGGCCCCACATTTCCTATTTTAGGGTTTTGCATTCTTTCCTGGAGGCAGCAGGTGATGATGACAGTCTCAAGGCCTCCAAGGCACTCTGCTCTGGTTGCGAGAGCTGTTACTGGCGATCTTTAGACAGCGCTGGTCTGCTCGGGAGCTGCCTGTGCTGGGGCCCTCGCTGTCCGCGGGCTGACTGCGTGTTGTCGGGGACACTTGTGGACACTGTTTCTGGGCTGTTCTCACAGCACAGCTGTTCTGTGTCCCGGAAGCCAGGCCCCTGTCCACAGCCTGTCTCTGTCCCCTGGGGCCTTTCCGTGGGTCCCCATTGGGTTGGTCTTTCTCTCCTCTCTCCTCTCCTCTCCCTCTGCTCTGTCCTGTCAGCGGGACGCCGTGTCCTCATGTCCCTCTCCAGCCATCCCCCGAAACCGGCTGCAGCTGGGCAGGGCTCCCGGGCAGGCCTCCCTGTCCCTGCCCGTGTGGTTCTCAGGAGGGGGTCTTGTTTCTTGGTGGGTGCCTCCAGGGCAGGACTGGGTGTTCCTTCCTCTCTGTGGACCTCAGACACGGGGCACTGACACCTGTGTTGGGTGAGACTTAATAGTGTTTCGTGCCACAGGGGACCCAGAATCGAGCTCAGCTGTTCAGTTGATTGTAGCCGTGTCTGTAATAAATGGCGATGATCCAGGACCCTCAGGACAACTTCTCCTGGAGCTTAAGGGGACCTTCTCAGGCTGCCCGAGGCTCTGCCTGGCTGTGATTCTGCACAGAACAACGCAGCTGCGGTGGAAGGCGTTCAAGGAGCTGGTACAAGTGAGGAAATGCCCCCCCAGCACCTGAAGTGAGGTCTTTACAAGGGCCACGTCTGGCTCTGCTCGAGGAGCCCGTTGGCCTGTGCTGGTGACCTCCGTCCTCCACTGCCTGGGCCTGGTGACCTCCATCTCCCACTGCCTGTGCCGGTGACCTCCATCCCCCACTGCCTGGGCCTGGTGACCTCCATCCCCCACTGCCTGTGCTGGTGACCTCCGTCCCCCACTGCCTGTGCCGGTGACCTCCATCCCCCACTGCCTGGGCCTGGTGACCTCCATCCCCCACTGCCTGTGCTGGTGACCTCCGTCCCCCACTGCCTGGGCCTGGTGACCTCCGTCCCCCACTGCCTGTGCTGGTGACCTCCGTCCCCCACTGCCAGTGCTGGTGACCTCTGCCACCCCCCCGCCCCCACCAACTGCCTGTGCTTGGTGACCTCCACCTCCCACTACCTCGACCTAGTGACCTCCGCCCCGCCACTGCCCGGGCCTGGTGACCTCGGTTTCCTACTGCCCGAACCTAGTGACCTCCACCCCCTCACAACTTCCTGGGCCTGGTGACCTCCCTTCCCCACTGCCCTCCCTGGTGACCTCCGTCCCCCACCGCTTAGGCCTGGCGACCTCGGCCCCCCACCACCCGGGCCTGGCGACCTCTGCCTCCAGCTGCCTGGGCTTGCAGGGGTGAGTCTTCCCACTGGGAGGGGAGAGGCTCACTAGGGCCAGCATGTAGTGGTGCAGTTTGCTCCCTGCTCAGGGTTCTGGTGGGGCCTGCAGGGCTCTGAGCCCTGGAGGGAAGGGGCTCTTCTTTTCAGATTCACCCACAGGAGCCTGGAGAGTCAGCTGCCCCCACACTGGCATGCAGACGCCCAGGGTCTCAGTCCCCGCTCCTGGCCTGGCTTTTCCTGGAGGCTGTCTCTGGGACCCTTCAGGAAAGAGGAGGCTTGTGGGTAAGGGGAGAACCCCTGTGTTATCTCAGGATCCAGGTGGCTCCAGACCTCCCCAACCCTGCCCCAAGACTCAGCATTCACTAACATCCACCTGCCCTTTGTCTCCCAGCCCCCACTCTCCCTCCTCACAACCCCGGGAGGGTCCGACCTGGACTGAACTAGGGGCTGCGGCCGGACCCAGCCCCATTCCTGCTTCAGTTCTCCATCAACCCTCTGGAGCTGGGCAGGTCCCCTTGCTGCTGGGGGTGAACCTGTGGGTATGCTGCGCCGTCACTCACACTGCCACAGGACGATCCAGCCACGCTCAGGATTCTCTGCAGCAAACACCTGGAACCCACTGTAATTAGCAAAATGTACCTTTTAACCCAGTCCTGAGTCCTGAAGTGCAAATATAAATTCTAATTAACAGCCACATCTACTTGGCAAGCTATGCCTGCATGTATATATATATATTTAAATTATTTAAGATAAATAATTACTGGAACTCCTCATTAGTTTTAAGCAGAACCAAATGAGTACAGTATTAAAAAAAATTAACCTGCCATCTTGAAAATATTATACTAACTTCAGAATAAGAGAGCCTTTGTGTTAATGGACCACAGTTCTAGTGTGGGAATTAAGTTCATTTGCTGCTCACATGAGAACCATACTGAGCACTCACCAAAAGCCTGCTGTGGCGAGTGCCGTACAATTCACAAAGGCACCGTGAACTATGAACTCGCTAATCCAGTCACTCGAGTCTGTCCTGTAACAGGGATAGTTTCCAGATTAGGTCAATGACTAAAAAACTTAAAATCTAAATCTTTTCTTTTCTTCCTTTGAGCCGGAGTTTTGCTCTTGTTGCCCAGACTGGAGTACAGGGGCGCAATCTCAGCTCACTGCAACCTCTGCCTCTCGGGTTCAAGCAATTCTCCTACCTCAGTCTCCCAGGTAGCTGGGATTACAGGTGCCTGCCACCGCGCTTGGCTAATTTTTTTGTATCTTTAGTAGAGACGGGGTCTCTCCATGTTGGTCAGGCTGATCTCGAACTCCCAACCTCAGGTGATCCACCAGCCTCAGCCTCCTAAAGTGCTGGGATTACAGGCATGAGCCACTGTGCCCGGCCACTTGTTTGGATCTTAAACCACAATTCCCTCTTCTATTCTCCTGGGATCATGTGATGTGGACGCCCCGTGCAGTTTCCACCGAGACTCCCTGATGACCACAGCCAGCAAGCTCAGCTTCCGTGGAAATGAGCAGATGGTCGTGTGTCTGGCCTATGAGTCAGTCTCTCCCCTGAAGCCTGGCCCAGGACGCGGCCCTGATGACGGGTTTCGTGTGGATTTTCCCCTCTACGTGAGACTTTTCCTTTCCAGCTCATAAGAAGTATTTTGGACAGTGACCTAAATAATTTCTCCGACAGAAGAAGCATGATCTGATCAACTGTGATTGACCAAGCGTGGACTCATAACCCTGCTTCCGAAAGCATTGATCGTCGGTACGATGTCTACATTTGTGTGAGATCAGACTCTGCCTTCTATAACCACGCAGTCAACACTCAGAAAGGATGGCACGACCATCCTCTGGGCGCGGCTGGCGGAGATGATGAAACCAGTTTTTAAATGGTGATTTATTTTAAAGGCAAGTGTTCTCCAGCAGCAAATTAGCAGAGAGAAGCCCATTCCTCCTATTTCCAAAAGAAAGAGATTTTGAGGGAGATCTTAGCTCACCTGAGGGGTTTGGATCAGAAAAATTCTGTGGCTTATAAAGTCGTTTGTTATTTTGCTGTGATTTTATACACAATGGAAGGGTGAGGAAAAGGTCAGCAGTAACTCTGCGGCTGCATTTTAGCCTGAAAAAATGTAATATTGATCGATAGGAAAATGGAAAAAGCGCAACTATTAGCGCCTTACTTGATCTTCTCCGACCTTTACCCCTCCGCGCTGGTTTTATTCTTAAATGTTATGCCTCCTGTTCAAAGGTTTGTCCTGCTTAGTCTTTTATTTAATTAATCCATGATCTTCCTCACTCTCTCTAATGTCGGGACAAGACCGGCTCCTGATTTCCCTGCTGTGCTCCCAAGTCTGGGTCACACGCAACTTGGAGCCGCGAAAGAGCTGCGGTCCGCGGGCATTAACCCTCCATCTTCCTGCGCATCGCTGGAGGGAACGGCTGCTCCGCCCAGATGGCTGTGCTGGTGGCGGCTCCGGCTGTGCTGGTGGCGCCTCCCTGAGCCCTGCCTCCTGCGATGTCCCACGTGAAGCCCCGGGGAGCTGGAGCTGCCTCCTATGGGGGGAAGATGGCTCCTCACCGCCTGGCGGGGCCCTGACACCACAGACCCAGGCCCTGGTGCTAACTCCTGCTGCTCAGGACTGAACATGGCCCAGACGGTCCTGGGTGAGGCATGGCATGAGGGAGTGCCAGGGGCGTCCCCACGTCTAGCAGGCACTGTCGCGCTGTGGCAGAGTCCCGGCCCCATGTTCACCCCAGCCCTGCTGAGGCCTTCAGGAGGGGGGCAGAGACCAGAGCCCCAAGACCTGAAGACGGATTGAGTTGAGGGCATCAGAGGCTCGCCAGGCCTTGGGACGAGTGTGTCGGCACCTGCTCTGGGTTGACAGTGTCCCCAGAATTTACATCCACTTAGGACCTGTATTGTGGCCTCACTTGGCAACATGGCTGTTTCCCATGTAATCAAAGTAAGGTGAGGCCCTACCGATTGGGACTGCTGGGGCCTTAAATCCAGTAAGACCAGTGTCCTCACACGAGGGGAGTGTGGTCACAGACACCCAGGAAGAAGTCACCCACAAAAAGACGGGCAGACATAGGCTAGTGTGGCCGCAAGGCAACCCGAGGCCGGCCGAGCCGGGAGGAAGGAGGCCTGCCAGACACACAGGCGCGTGGGAAGCTAGCAGGCAAACGGGCCCCACTGTGGGGGGACATCGCCCCACGGCATCTGAGATCCCCATTTCCAGGAAAGCCGCCTCCACCTGCTTCCTCATTCGGTGCCACATGAATTAGTGACGCGACTTTGTGTGGACGGGAACTGGAGGCAAGGACACAGGGAGAGGCAAGGACGTGGGGCCTGGTGACCCCTGAGGTGAGGATTCTGCAGGCCCTGGGCCGACTCCCACTGAGGACTGAGGGCCTGAGGCTCATGCTTCCCCCCCAGCACCGGCTCCCTGAAGAGGCCCCTCTGCGCTCTGTCCCTCCTCAGGGGACAGGAGGGGGAGGGTGCAGATAAGGCCTCAGCGGGGCCCCGGGTTATCTGGCTTGACCTTTAGAGAAGCCGAGAGGGGAGTGTTGTCACCCAGAGGAGATAGGGGGTCGCCTGGTGGGAGCAGCCTCCAGCCTTCCTGAGTGGTCAGGGGCAGGGCCCTGTGAAGACAGCCTGGACTGGGGCACTGGCCTGGCCTGTCAGCGCCATCACTGTGTGACTCCCAGACACCCAGCTGTGCCGGCCTGGGCATGCATGAGCGCTCACGTGCCTTTGCTTCTGAAAGGAACTTGCAGGCTGGGCAGCCACTGCTCCTGGGCCTGGACGGTCTCCACGTATGCAGAGGCACAGCCGAGCCACGCACCCACCATGCAAGACAGGGTCTGGACACCCGGAGAGGGAAGCCTCTTGCCACTGGGGAGGAAGAAGACAAGCTGTTTTATTTAGGCGTGCAGTGTAAAATAATGATGGAGACAAGAAATCACGTTGCCGGGCAATCGGCGGAATTGGATTGGCAGAATCAGCTTCTCATTGG